AAAAAAAAAAAAAAAGAACACCCTGATTGTACTTTCTCTATGGCATATTAGTTTGTTCTCTTGGCCATCCATGGAATATTTGGTACTCTTCTCAAACACCACAACTCAAAGGCATTTAGTCTTCTGTCATCTTTATTCATTGTCCAACTTTTAAATGCATAGCAAGCAATTGAAAAGATTATAGCTAGGTGGGTATGGTGCACCTTAGTCTTTAAACTGACAACATTGCTCCTTAACACCTTGGAGAGAGAGGTTATTGACACTAGGTTCTCCCAATGCAACATTTCTTTTGATTTCTTGACTACTGATACTAAAGGTGTTGATTATGGATCCAAATAAAATTAAATCATTGACAACTTTTGTCTTATCTCCATCAGTCATGATGTTGCCTATTGGTCCAGTGGTAATGATTGTTGTTTTCTTCATATTGTGTTGTAACCCATACTAGAAGTTATATATATAGTCTTTGAGCTTCATCATTAAGTACTTCAAGAAGTCTATGAAGGTGATAGTCTTTGATCTTCTACAGCAAGCATTTCAGTGTCTCAGTTTATGCAGGTAAGGTTGTATCATCTTTGTAACACAGATTATTGATTAGTCTTCCTCCAGTACTGATGCCATATTTTCTTCATACAGTCCAGCTTCTTGAATTATTTTCTTAACATACAGATCACATAAGTTTGGTGAAAGTACGCACACCCTTCTTGATTTCGGTCTATGCATTGCTCTGTTCAGACAACAGCTTACTGGTTTAGGTATAGGTTTAACATGATCACAATTAAGTGTTCTAGGATTTCCATTCTTATCAGTGTTCTTCATAATTTGTTGTGGTCCACACAGTCAAATGCCTTTGCATAGTCACTAAAACATAAATAAATACCCTTCTAGTATTCTCTGCTTTCTGCCAAGGTCCATTTGACATCAACAACTATATTCCTGGTTTCTTCTAAATCCTGTGTGTGACATGAAATCTTATGTTTCTTTCTGTTGAACATTGTTGTTACATCTTTCAAAACATACTTGATTGTTCTAGCAGTCCATGATTTATTCAATGTTTTTGTCCAGCACCACAATTCAAAGGTATAAATTATTCTGTCTGCCTTATTCATTCTTCAGGTTGCACTATTTTGGAGCCAATTGAAAGTACCTTAATTTGCTTGGTCAGGCAAACCTCAGCCCTCAAAATACATCCTTGTTCTTAAGCACTTTAAAGAGATCCTGTACAGCAGATTTTCCCAGTGCAACACATCTTTTGATGTCTTAACCACTTTTACCATGGGTGTTGATCCAAGTAAAACTAAATCCTTGACAGCTTCACTCTCCATGTAGCATGATATTTATTGGTCCATTTGTGAGGTATTTTTTTTGTCTTTATATTGACATGCAGTCTATATATAGTCTTTGATTATATATTTATATATGTATGGGGGAGAGTGAGTGTTTTTGATCTCCATCATTAAGCACTTCAGATCTTCATTTCAACAAGCAAGGTTGTACCTATGATAGTTAAAACATCAATATTATCTTGTCAGTATTTTTACTTTTTCATTGAAAAGATCAGTATTTTTACTTTTTTCATTGAAAAGATAGATATGCATATAACTTTCTGTACCTTGGTTGTATCTTTAAAAATATAGGGTGATTTATTTTTAAATATTTCTTATTGCATTAGTTTCTTAAATTTTTACTTGCCTGCTATCCCTGTTAACTATCCAAGATTTATTCTGTGTGCAAACTTTTCCTTAGTTTTTTAGAATAGTGGTGTTATAGTTGTCCCTTTGTGACTGACTTATGTCACTCAGCAAAATTTACTTTAGATTTAACGATGTACAATATGTCACAAACTCTTTTATTTCGTTTTTTGGTGATACAAAATGCTTCATTGAATACCATCATTTATTTAGCCATTCATCCATTGATGGACACTAGAGTTGTTTCCAACTCTTGCTGTTGTAAATAATGCTGCAATATACATAAGTGTACATCCATTTGTGTCACAGCTCTTAATTCTTTAGGATCTATAGCTAGCAGTAGGATTCTGAAATCAAAGGGTGTTTCTTTTCCTAAATTTCTAAGGAAGCTCCAGACTGCTATCCATTGTGATTGTACCATTATACAGGACCACTAGCTGTGTATGAGAGCTCCAGTCTCCTCATCCCCTTGTCAGTGTTTTTTAATGCTGTTTACTCTCCCTCCTGTCTGAAGAATACAGTTTTTTCTTCAACGTTTGTTTGTTAAGGTGTACTTAATCTTTATAAAGTACAATAAAATACACATTTCTCACTATCTTGCTATCCAGTATATAGTAGTAAAATCTCTGCTGACTACCTGTTTTGTGCATTAACAGCATACAGCAAACAGAAACAGACACTGAGGTGCTAAACGAGAGTAATGTTGGCCGTGATGGTTAAGGTTATGTGTCAGTTTGGCTGGGCTGTGATTCTCAGTGGTTTGTAAGTTATATAATGATTTAATTTGGCTTTTATGTAATGATGAAACATAGCCGTTAAGTAATGATGTGGTTTGCTGATTATGTAATGATACAGTCATCTTCTGTTTGGTAAGCTAATGTAGTTGTCCTCCATTCTTAAATGGTGGCTGGTCTTTGGAACCTAATGATAGCTACATGTTAGGAATATGTGATGTCCAGAATTCATAATTCAAAGTACCAATAATTCACATTACCTGTTCCTCTCCTCATAGTTCCTATTAGTTTTGTCATAGCTAGTTATATCTATCAGTCTAAATATATATTTTTATTACTAGTTATTTACAAATTATTTTGGATATGGCTTGTTAATACATACTTTTAATGTTGAAGATATTTTTTTATTCCTTCAATTTCCATCTCGTTTCAATTCTCTTGGTTTTTTTATTGGACAAATACACAGACACTCAAATATACATACATATGTGTATTCTAAATTTGTTTTGCTTAAATAGAATTTTATGTCTGTTTTTTGTACACTTCTATTGCTGTATTGCTTGAAGTTCAACTATAGGAGATAGAACAGCTGTGTGTTTATTTTCACTTTGTTGAGACTAGTAACATTATCCTGGATATATTTAAATCTTCATATTTATCTTTCTTGTAAGTTAATTTTACATGTTGAAATCCAATAATGTCTTTGTTATATCTCTTAATTTTTGATCTCTGTGGAGCTGCCATAATTAATTGTCCCTACCTATTGATAGAATATCATGCCCTCTATACTGTTTGAAGGAATATAGCCCTATTCAGACTATATCTTTCTTGGATAACTTTTTAGGGGTTTTGGTTGTTTTTTGTAATTGCTTTTCTTCTGTGGGGAGCAGAAATATATGCCCTGAACCATAATGCTAAGATCTCTAGCTTCATTTTCTTCTCAGAACTTTTTATTAGAACCTAGTGATTTTCTGTTCCAATTAGAGCTGTTGCCTTTCTCTACAATTTTCATGCTGGTATATCTTGTCATTTTCTAGGTAGCTCAGTTATCTAGTATCTTCTTGGTTCTCTGTTGAAGGAGGAGGTAAATTGTCCGTATTTGACTCTAATAATTGACATTGTAGACAAACTAAAGTTCAAGATTTAAAGCTTTTACTGAAGATCAAACAGCCTTTAATGTGGATTACATCTCAACATCAAAACAAAAGTCCTCACCACTGAACCAATGAGCAACACCATGACAGTTGGAGAAAAGATTAAAGCTGTAAAAGATTTAATTTTAATTGGATCCGCACCCACAGTCAGCACTTGTGTAGCAGTAGTCACACTTTGAGGAAAATCTGCTGTCAAGGAACTCCCCAGAGTGCTAAAGAGCAAGGATGTCACTTTAAAGACCTCTTAGGTGTACATGACCCAAACTATTATATTTAATTGCTTTATTTGCCTGTTGAAGTTGAACAGTGAATAAAGAAGACAGAAGAATCAATGCTTTTGAGTTGTTGTTGGAGAGGAATGTTGAATATACCGTAGACTGCCAAAAGAACAAACAATTCTATCTTGGAGGAAGTGCAAACAGGGTGCTCCCTAGAGAAGAGGATGGTCGAACTTCACCTCACATAATATGGATATACTGTCAGGATGTGCAGTGCTTCAGAAAAGACATCAACCTGGGAAAGAAAGGCTCAAAAATAGGAAGACCTTTAATAAAATGGATTGAAAATGATTGCAACAGCCCACTGGAGCTTGGCAGTGATTATGAAGATGGTGCAGGTCAGATCAAGGTTCAAATCTGTTGTTCATTGAATCATTCTGAGTCGTTTTCAACTCGGTGATACTCATGGAAAATCGATAGTAGTCTATTGCACATTTTTTTGTAGGCCACTATTATTCCTTCCCCCACTCCCCTAAAGATTTTAGAATGCTGTAGTGTGAATGTTTCCTTCACTCATCATGCTAAGTAATAAACTGTGCCTTTTCATTCTGGAATTTTGTTTTCTCAGCTTTTAAAAATTCTGTTACTTCTTGGATGATTTTTCTCTTTTCTGTTTCTTTATTCTCTTTCTAGACATCCCTTAAATCATAAAGTAAGTCTGTGTCTTTTTAATCCTCATTTCTCTGAATTGTCCAAGATCAGTGCTGCTGCAGTGGTTGCTTCAGGATTCAAGCCTATCTATATAGTTCTATAACATTTTTTAAGCTGAATTTTCTGATATCCAGTGAGCATAAAAATAATTAACTTAAGGGATTGTCATAAAGATTAATTTAGATTTTTTAAAAAATGCGTAATACTCACCGTAGCATAAAACATTCATTAATGTTACTTATTGCCATATTAGCTGTTCATTGGTTCAGATGTGTTGTTGCTAGAAGGATGATTGCCATTTTACCTAGATGGCATTTTAAAATTTAACTTGCAGATTTTTAAGTGTCAAATTTTAAAAATTCAAAATTAATGCTTTTCATTAGTCATTATTAGTATATACTTTCAAGGAATTCTGGCAAAATAGCATATTTCACTGCTAGCTGAAAGGTTGGTAGTTCAAATCCACCAGATGTTCCTTGTGAGAAAGATGGGCCACTAAGATACAGCCTTGGAACCTGATTGCTGTGATTTAGAATTGACCCAATAGCAGTGGGGTTTGAGTTGCCCTTTGATCTGAGTAGAGAACTTTAACATAATGGTAGGCAAAATTATACGCTCTGTGTTAACATTGTATTAAATTTACCTTTTTTTAAAAAAACAGATCATTACTTCTTGCTGATCTTGACAAAGAAGAAAAGGAAAAAGACTGGTATTATGCTCAGCTTCAAAATCTCACTAAAAGAATAGATAGTCTTCCTTTAACTGAAAATGTAAGTAATAAATTAACTTAAATTGACAACTACATTTGAAGTCCTTAGGCCTGCAGTCTCTGAGTGACAGATGGCAAAGTGCTTGTCTGCTAACTGGAAGATTGGTGGGAAGAAGCCACTTCTGGAAGATCATAGTTACTGAATACGTTACAGAGCACAGTTTTATTTTAAAACACATTAGATTGCCATGAGTCAGGACTGACTCAGCAAAAACTAAGTTGTAGTTGTTGTTTAGGCTTTTTTGACATTTGGAATGCTATTCTGACTCAGATCTGTGTCACAGCGTTCTGTGGATACATAGAACATGAAAAAATTCTTGGACTTCTTCAGTCCTCTCGTAGCTCTATTGCCAGAGCTGTAACTCAATTGCCTATTGAAAGCTGTTGATGTTTTCACCCAGTATGCCATCTTGAAGTATGTATTTCATAAATTTTATTACCTTTTTTCCCTCTTCTATACATCTTGCAGTTAGCACAGTGCCCGAAATCTTAATTAGAGGTCTAATAACTGTCAGTGAATAAATACTCATTATAGAGAACTACTTACTACTTTTTATGTATTTCAAATTTACTTCAGATGTGGATTTTTTTACCATAAAGTCTATGTTGGCTTTGTCCTCACTACTCCTGACTATCTGTATTACATATGGATAGTAATAAGTCTATAATAGCTCTGGATGTCTAGAGGTAATGAGGTCCACTAACAGCCCTAAGGCTTGCAGTTCAAATCCACCAGCTGCTCCACAGAAGAAGGAAGGACATTCTCCTCTCATGGGTTTTACAGCCTCTGAAAACCCCACTAAAGGGTCAGTTTTGAGTTGGTTTGACTGGACAATAAGTGGTTTTAAGTTATATTACTTATACACTTTTTTCTTTTTTTGCATATTCACTTTTTCTGATCCCATCAAATTTATTTAGAAATGATTTAATCTGTTTTAGTCTGGATTTGTGATACAGTATGAATTTAGGATAATGACATTGTTTCCCAATTTTTTGTTGTTGTTTGTATTAATATACTGGTGGTTTCATGGTAAATATATATGGGGGGGAACATAAATTATGTCATCATGTAGTTGTCCTTTTGTGGATATACATTTTTTTTAAACAACGAAAAAAGTAGTATCAGTTCAGTGGAGAATAATTACAAGAGAACTGATTTTTTGCTTCTCTGACTTGTTCAGTTAAATTATTAGATTGGATATTACCATTAAAGATTTTTGCAACTGTGCACCAATATTTTTCTGTTTCATCAGTGACCCAGGGTAAGAGCAGCAGCTACAAGCAGCACATTTTAATTCTCCTTGTAGTAAAAACTTTCTCATGTATCAGGACTTGTAAATGTGCTTCATAATTTTCTTTTTGGTATACTATATGGGGGTTTCTTTTGTGAGTTGGTTCCCCCCCCTTGGTTAAGGGTTGTTTTTCTTTATTTTTTAAATGCAACATATTTTTTACAGCATGTTCTTCCCATTTAATTTTTTTCACCATTCATTTATTCATTGTTACGAACTTTCCTCCCTGCCTACCCCTCTCCCCAGTTTGCTTTTCTCTCTGAAAAGAAAAAAAAAATTCTTTCAGTGTTATGCAGTATCCTCCCCCAAGTCCACAGTCCACTTTACTATGCATTTCTTTTCCTAGAATCTTGTCATGAAAATAATACCTATTCATATTCTTTTTTTTTTTTTTAAATTTTTTTTTTTATTTAGGTTGTTTATTTTTCATTTCAATGAACATCTACAGAGATTTTGGGATTTCATTCATTCATTGTTGTACCCTTCTCCCCGCACAAACCCCCCCCCCCCAATTTGCTCTTCTCCTTGAAAAGCAAAAGAAAAACTCCCTCATTGGTACACAATCCCCCCCCCCCCGCACCTCCCCAAACCCCACCCCCTACCCCCAAATATAATCCACTCTGCAACCCTCACAGTTCTCTCCCTCATCTGTTTCAATGTAGTATACATTATTTATCCCCTTTTTTCTAGGCTCCTCCAACCCCAGTATCAGTCCCGTTTTACAACACTGGCACTATGCAGTATTTGTCCTTTTGTGACTGAGATAGTTCACTCACTATAATGTCCTCCACAGTCACCTATTTTGTATAATATTTCATGAGTTCCTTGTTTTCCAATGCAGTGTAGTATCCTGTTGTGTGAATATACCATAGCTTCTCTGTCCATTCGTTTGTGTTGATGGACACTTGTATTGTTTCCAACTCTTTGCTATTGTGAACAAAGCTACAATAAACATGGGTATGCATATATCTTCTCGGATGTCAGTTATGATTTCTTTAGGGTATATTCTAAGTAGTGGAATTGCTAGGTCAAATGGCATTTTTATTTGGAACTTTTTGAGAAAATGTCATACAGCACTTCCATAGTGGTTGCACCATTTTACACTGCCACCAACAGTGAATAAGGGTTCCAGTTTCTCCACAACCTCGCCAGCATTTGTTGTTTGCTGTTCTGTTGAATTTTGCTATTCTTACTGGGGCAAGATGGTATCTCTTAGTTGTTTTGTAAGTTCATTTTTTAAAATACTTTTTCCCATTATTGCAAAATTTTCTTTCTTCCCTCCCCCAGCCTTCTCCACATTGAACTTCTTGTTTCAGATTATTGAGGAATATATGATTATACATTATGTGATTGATATGTATATATGTTTTCTTTTTAATGATGAGAGACTAAATCTTTTTTTTATTTATGGTTTTAGTTTTCATTGCAAACAGATATGACCAGAAGGCAATTGGAATATGAAGCAAGGCAAATCAGAGTTGCAATGGAAGAACAACTAGGTACTTGCCAGGATATGGAAAAACGAGCACAGGTAACTTCCTTGTTTTAAAACAGCACCAGTTAAAGAAGAGCTATGAGAAACAAATGACAACTCTGTTAACATTGATTCTATTTGGTTTTAATACAACTCTGTCTTCATTTAAGCACCATTTTAAGGTGAAAAATAATTTACTCTGGCTCTTACTTAACGACTGTAAAAAAGTAGCATATCCAGTACTCACATAATTCTGCCTCTCACACAGTTTATCCTGGAATTAGATGCTTGTGACAGCCCATCAACAGAGAACTGCCAGAAGTTCAGGCTGGGTTTAGAAGAGTCCGTGGTACTAGGGATATTATAGCTAATGTTAGATGGATCTTGGGTGAAAGCAGAAAGTACCAGAGGAGTAGCTCTCTGTTTGACTGACTATGCAAAGGCATTTGACTGTGTAGATAACAATAAACTGTTGCTGATTCTGAGAAAAATGGGAATCCCAGAACACTTGACTGTGCTTGTGAGAAATCTATACTTGGACCAGGAGGCAGGCAGAATAGAGCAAGGAAACATTGCATGGATCAAAATTGGGACAGGGTGTACACCAAGGATATGTCCTATCTCCATACCTTTTCAATCTATATACAGAACATATTATCTGGGAGGCTGATCTCTATGAGGAGAAATGTGGCATCAGGATTGGAGGTAGACTCACCAACAATCTGAGTTCTGCAGATGACACAACCCTGCTTGCTGAAACTAAGGAGGACCTGAAGCGCTTGCTGCAGTAGGTCAAGGACTGCAGCCTTCAACATGGATTTAAGCTCAACATTAAGAAAACAAAAATTCTTACTACTGGGACACTTGGCAGCATCATGACAGATGGTGAAGAGATTCAGATTGTTAACAGCTAGCTCTACAGTCTACACAGTTTGTACCAGCAACCAGGAGATTAAAAGACGAATTGCAATGGGAAAGTCTGCTGTCGGAGACCTCTCCAAAGTACTAAAGAACAACAGTGTCAGTCTGGAGATTAAAATGTGCCTTATACAGGCGATAGTCTTTGCAGTTACTTGCTATGCATCGGAAAATTGTACAATGACTAGGGATGATTCAAGGAAAATTGATGTCTTTGAGCTGTGGTGCTGGAGAAGAGTATTAATATACCGTGGACTGCTAGGAGAACAAACAAGCTCATCCTGGAGAGGTTGAAGCTACGCTGCTCCTTGGAGGCAAGGATTCTGAGGCTCCGTCTAACATACTTTGGACATGTTGTGAGGAAAGACCGGTCCTTAGAGAGGGACATCATGCTTGGGAGGGTGGAGTGAAAGTGCAGGAAAGGAAGACCCTCGATGAGATGGATTGATTCAGTTACTGGCGTAATGGGGGTAAATGTGTCAGAGAAAATAAGATTGGCACAGGATAGAGAAGGGTTTAGGGCTGTTGTAAATAGGGTCGCTATGAGTTTCAGGTGATTCGATGGCAAATCACAACAACATATTTGCATTTGATAAGTAGGTTTAGTTCTACTTGATTTCATTCCTTGTAATCTAAAAATATATAATACCATTCAGAATATTTCAGTCTGTTCACAAAACAAACTCCAGTTCAAGGAAACTGGAGCTGGAAAGAGAATGTTAGGAGAGCTGGGGTGACTTGGTTGGGCAACTCCTCCCTCAGTTTTTATTCTCATAATAAGAAGAAAGAATACTAACTAGCTTTATTACTTGTAAAGCACTGAATTCAGTTCAACTTTTTGAGGAACCATCAAAGTGTTCTCAACAGTAGCTCTTCCGTTACATTTCCACCAGCAATGGATAGATTTCTGTTTCCTTGCAACACATCTGGAAGCTGTTGTTTCGTTTTATTTTAAATTTTAAAGTCACAGAATATTAAGTGTTCCTAAAGTATAGCCTTTACCTCATATGGTACTTTCCTAAAATGTAATATGATATGGATTGTATTGTTTGTTTAAGTGAACAATAATTCTCAACATTTTGGATATAATATATGTGAGGTACATAATGATCTCCACGAGCTCATAAACCAGTCAGAGTGGACTACTGTTTGTTTTAGCTGCTGTGTAATCGGCTATAACTCAGAATAATTATATAAACAAGAGATTATAAACCTTGCTGTATTCTGAACCATCATCTTAATCTCCATCATGGTGAAGCTCATTATTGTCACTGTGTCCGTCCATCTTGTCTGCCTCTATTTTGCTGACGCTCACTTTTTTCCATACTGATGGCGTTTTCCAAAAACAGACCCTGCCTGAACCCAAAGTATATGAAGCACAGTTTGGTCATCCAGGGTTCTAAGGAACACCCTGGCTGCACTTTCTCCATGGCATGGTTGTTTGTTCTTTCGGGCAGTGTGCTCTTCTCCAGTGGCACAACTCAAAGGCATCGTTATTCATTAATGTTGCATAATTTGATGGGTGAGGGAAATTGGAAGAATCTTTTCTGGAGAACAATGTATTTGAATTTTGTGAATAAACTAGTATAATTTTAAAAAAAAATAATTGAAAAGACAGTAGATTGGATCAGGAGCACCTTAGTCTTTAAACAGATACCTTTGCTGCTTTTTAGCACCTTGGAGAGGTCCTTAATAGCAGATTTCCCAAAGGCACCACATCTAATCTCTTGAATTCTGGTATTAAAAGTGTTGCGTGTGAATCCAAGATCAAATTATTGACTTCAGTTACATCTATCATGATGTTGGTCCAGTGCTGAAGATTTGTTTTCACAATGTTGAAATGCAATCTGTATTGAAAACTGTATGTAGCTTTTTATCTTTTGCCACAAGTGTTTCAACTTGTCCTTGATTTCAGCAAGCAAGGTTGTATCATCTGCATAATGAGAGCCTTCCTCCAATGCTGATGTCACATTCTTCTTCATATCAGCATGTCGAATGATTTGCTTAGCATACAGATTAGAATAGGTATGGAAAATGGATATAACCATCTCACAGAAGTATTCTTATTTTACCATGCAGTGTTCCTTTATTTTGTTTGGACAACTGATTCTTAATCTGTTTGTTGATTTTTTTTTTTATAAGCACAATTAAATATTCTAGGATTTACGTTCTTCTCACTGTTAGCTGTAATTTGTTGTGATCCTTGCAGTTAAATCCATCTACATAATCAGTGAGGCACAAGTAAACATCTTTCTGACAGTCTGCTTTCAGCCATCTGACATCCATAGCCTCTTATAAATGCAGCTTCAGTATCTGGCAGTTCTTTGTCAGTGTACTTAACGTTCTAGCCACTTTATTTTTAATAATCTTCTACAAGCTTTTACTTCCATGTGATGATGATGTTGTTATGTGCTGTCAAGTCACCTGAGACTCTTAGCGACCCTATGTACAAAAGCTCTAAACCCTCCCCTGTCCTGAGCCAGTCTCACTGACTCCAGCACACCTACCCTCACTACCCCAGTTACTGTGTCAATCCTCTCATCCTGGGTCTTCCTCTCCAGCACTGTCCCTCCACCCTTTCAAACATGATGTCCTTTCCCAATGACTGGTCCATCCTACCCACATGCCCAAAGTATGTAAGATGGAGCTTCAAAATCCTTACCTCCAAGGAGAAACTTGGATTCATCCTTCCCATTCCAGACCGGTTTGTTTCTTAGCAGCTCCTGATATGCTCAACATTTTCTCTAGCTCCACAACTCAAAGGCATAGATTCTTCTTCTGTCAACTTTAGGTATTGTCCAGTTCTTTTATGCAAACAAGTAATTGAGGAAACTGTGACAAGGATCAGGTGCACCTTAGTCCCTAGAGAGACATCAGTGCTTTTAAGCACTTTGAAGAGGTTCCTGACAGCAGACTTTCCCAGTGCAGTTCATCTTTTGATTTTCTGACTACTGGTGCCAAGAGTGTTGATTGTGGAGGGAAACAAGCTGAAATTGTTAACAACCTCAATCTCTTCGCTATCGTGGTGCTGTCAGTTAGTCCAGTGGTGAAAATCTTTGTCTTCTTCATTTGACCTTCACTCCATGTTGAAGACTACAGCCTTGACCTTATGCAGCAAATGCTTTAGGTCCTTCAGTTTTCGTAATCGAGGGTGTGTCTTCTGAATATCGCAGATTGTTGCTGAGTCTTCCTCCAATCCTGATACCACATTCCTCTACATAAATGTCCAGCCTCTTAGATGATGTGTTCCAAATATAGATTGAAAAAGTATGGAGACTGGATGCATACTTGACACACTCCTTGATTTTGAGCCACATTCCTTTTCATAAAACCCAGCCTTTATCTGTTCTGCATACAGATTGAAGAGGAATGGAGACAGGACATATCTCTGATGTACTCCTTTCCCAGTTTTGAACCATGTAGTGTTTCCTTGCTCTGTTCTGAGGACTGCTTTCTGGTGTAAGTTTCACATGAGCACAATCAAGTGTTCTGGGATTTCCATTCTTCTCAGTGTTATCCACAATTGGTTGTAATCCACACAGTTCAATGCCTTTGCATAGTCAGGGAAACACAGATGGACATTCTCTGGTACTCTTTACTTTCAGCCAAGATCCATCTGGACATTGGCAATAATATCTCTAGTGCCATGGCCTCTCCTAAAACTAGCTTTTATTTCTGGCAGTTCTCTATCGATGTACTGTTCCTGTTGTTGTGTGCCAGCAAGTCGCTTGTGACCCATAACACCCTGTGTACAACAGCTCTGAACATTGCCATTTCCTAAGCCAGTTTCACTAATTCCAACACTCCAACTCCCATTTCCCCAAACACCATATCAATCTATCTCACCTCGGGTTTTCCTCTCTTGTGTGTGCTGCGTCTCCTGGCCACATGCACAGATTATGTGAGACGGAGCTTCAGAATCCTAGCCTCCAAGGAGAAACTTGGTTTCATCCTCTCCAAGACAGACCCATTTGTTTTCTTGGCAGTACATCGTATGTTCAAGACTCTACTCCAGCACTACAACTGAAAGGCATCGATTCTTCTGTCATCCTTAATCATTTTCCGTATCTCTGAAGCATAACAAGTAATTGAGAAGACAGTGGCCTGGATCAGTCACACCTTTGTCTCTAGATTGACAT